GATTTCTCCTATCATAGTTGTGACTATATGAGGAAAAGAATACTGCTCCTAATGAGTCAGCTTCCACTGCAATACAGTATGGGCATGACATTGATTTCTCCAGTAAAATTTGAAAAACCCAAAGTTACTGTTAGATAAATCTAGTTGTGGTGCTGTGCCGCAAAATGAGATGATCATGAGAGACATTTTTAGTGTTCAGTAACATTTTACAGCACTTGCAATAAAAGCAGGTTACGGAAGTGCTGAAGATTAGATGTGTTACTAGAGACAAACATACAAAACAGAAGGAGGAGACATAGGTTTTTTTAGTTTTAGTAAGAGTTTTACGGCGCTTGCAACACAATAAGGTCATATGAGTGCCCAAGATTAAAGGTGTTACAAGAGAGTGACAAACATAAAAAAGAAGGAGGGGAGATAAGGACGAGAGATGTTTGATAGGAAAGAAGAAGCAAACCACACCAGTGCGCCCTCCAACCACCCACGGAGGAGATATAAGGACAAGGACGACAGATTTTGGATAGGGAAGAAGGAACAAACCACATCAGAACACCCGCCAACCACCAACCACACTGACCGTCTAGCGAGACAAACAAGCGAGAACAAGCGAGCGGACAGACAGCCGCGCAAACAAACTACTCACAGCGCTGAAAATGAGAGCTCCGATGGAGGCGTAGACCAGACTCAGGATCTGAAACAGAACCACCAGACACACGTGAGGCTGGGAATCTGAACACACACACACACACACACAAATAAACACACACACACTTACACACATACACACAAACACATACACACACACCTACACACATACACACACACACCTACACACACACACCTACACACACACACACCTCTACACACACACACACACACACACCTACACACACACACCCATTCTCCACTCATGCAACTCGACACAACAACAACAGCAATAACATCACCCAGTCCCGACTCAATGAACACACCAATAACAACAGCAACAACAACAATAACAACAACAAAACCCTGTTCCCACTCATTCAAAACAACAACAACATCACCCAGTTCCAACCCACTCAACAATAACAAAACCACTCCCACTCACTTGACACTACAACAACATCACCACCACCAACAACACCCCCACCACCTAGTCCCCACTCTAATGACACACCAG